CGCTTGAGTGTGGCTTCGGGTACGTTAAAAACTCTCCCAGTTTTTCTCGCCTTTTTCGACTTTCTCTGTGATTTCTGATTATCATTGAGCTTGATTTTTAACTGTTATGAGTTCGAATCCATGTTTTTTTCCCCTTAGAGATTCGATTTTCGTTTTCGATTGTGTTCGCTAAGTGACTATTGAGATGTCTCTGAGAAATTCTTCATATGAAAGAAACCGATATCGGAATACTGTAACCGAAAACTGTGAGAAGAAAAATTTGATATTGTTCTTTTGTAAAAAAGAATTCAAGATTGTTGAGTTGTAAAAAGATCTTTTGGTCTTAGTTTTGAAGAATCCTTTCGTGTTATATTCCTTCACTTTGCTGCGAATTGGGTTCCTGTTAGTGTAAAGTATTTGGAGCTCGTCTCTGCTGCCATTTTGGTTTTTGGGTTGCTTGATACTTCCTTTCAAGCGAGAGACTTTATAGGAAGAATGTGGCTTTTCATGAATGATGATTGATGTTAATTAAGCCTTGTGGGGCATTATCATGTTACAACGTTTAGCGTCTCCTTCACTATGGGATTTCGTTTTATGTTTTCAGTGGTTCCAAGAAAACCGATGTTTTGGATTGGTTTTGCAAGATGATGTACAATATCTGTTATCCACTTTGCATTGGTACATTAAGAATTGAAGCTTTAGCTGAATGATTGCTACGTTTTAGATTGGTATTCTCTGCTGGTTAAAATCTTTTAATATCGTTACTTCTTAGTTGGTATCAGATATTACATAACTGCGCTAGTCATGAGGTGTACCTGAATTTCGTTGGTCAACTTTGTAGGTTAGATTTGAGAGGAAGTAAAAATGAGAAGACAGGGAAACTTTGCTGACTCGACTGCAAGTGCATATGGAGCTGGACAGATACAGAATTCCCATTCTGATTTCCAAGGTCAATTAGAGGCATTCACGCCCGAGAGGGACCAACCATATTCAGATCCACAAGGAGAGGGTCAATGGAGATGGGAAAGAGATGGCCCAAATATGTCAAGGCCAATGGCAACTGCCGTTTACAATGAAGGTAAGTCTTTACTTACTGCGTCCGTATTCACAGTCAGGTCTTTGACACAAAGGCCAGAGCATTGTACGGAAGAGCAGCCATCATGTGATGGATTTGCTTCTTTAAGTCTCGTAGGCAATAGTATTAATTTTCAGAAGTCTTGGTAATTCAACAATTTCTATATAAGCTACTGTACTGTATCATGCAATGCTCCTTCAGTGGGTGAGTTCTGCTGTGACACTTTATATGAGATGAGAGGAATGTTAGCTGCATATTAGTTTTGGTAGATATAGTTTCCAAAACCGTATGAGGGAAGATGACAGCGATATGATTCCTATTGTAGATCATGCATCGAGTTTGTCTGTAGCTTTAGGGCTTATCTCTTGATTCCAGCGTTCTGTTTACACAGGTCAAGGCGTTGATTCATCGAGGACGTATTACCGTGGCCAAATGGATCCAAAATCAGGAATGGAGAGGCAAGGCAGCGATCCAAGAGCTCAACCACAACACCAAGAAAAACCAAAGCCTGGTTATGAGAATAACCGTGGGATGCAGACCTTTGAACGTCTTGAACAGAAGTTCATGGATGATATAACAAGACTAGCGAAAGATCAAATCGAAGCAGAGGATAAAGAGATTGCCAGACATCGAGAGGTTAGCACAAATTGGAAAGTTCTGCCACTGGAATACTTTAGTTGTGGGGTTTTAGTTTGTTGATCTGAAATCTTCTAACTCTGTATACAGAAAATAAACGCCATTAATACTCGGTACGAAGAACAATTAGCTGCACTGAGAGCTCGACACACAGGTAAAAGAGAAGAGATCATGAGGAAAGAATCACAAGCTCGTCGACAACAATACAAGCAGCAAACCATGGGGATGATGGATCAGTACCATCCAAACTCGGTTGGTCCGGGTAATCTAATGCCATCTGGTCATCCCCAAGGGTACATTGGCAATGCTCAAGATCCAGCTGCTGTGGGGGATACACCATCCAGATCCTACGGATCAGATCGGTTCGAAGCGTATGGAGAGAGAGCTCGGTTTCAGGGGGGAACCAGGGATCACGGGTTCGACTCTAGGGGTCAGTACCCTGGTGGGGGTGTCTACGACACGGCCTCACGGTTCTACTGATGTGATATTTTACTTGAACATATTGTGTGTTTAGGGTATGGACTCCCACTTTTTTGGCTTTATAGATTAGACTATCCGGAAATTTGAAAATGAAATCTCAGGGCTTCTTTTTTCCTGAAGAGAGCATTTTATAGATATGCATCCTAAAGAGTCTTATTTATCGTTGAGAAGAATGTGAACTTACCAAATGACAAATCGGCTAGGGATGTCTGATCACCAGAGAGTAAATCGGAGGTGACTAGTTGATAAACCTCTTAACCGGTGACATAAAGACAACACTAACCGTAACCACCGTAGTATATATGTCATAGACTCATAGTTAATAAAGATATAGGATAGTAATAATTTGTATGGGAATATGATAATAGTTTTACCTAAAATGTTTTGTGAACAGAGTCCCAAAAAATCGAACTATCTCAGATTTTGATATTTTATGGTCTCTTCAAAGTCTTAGAGATTTTCGACC